CGGGGGGGGCGGCATCGCCGGCGCCTTCTTTCTGAGCGTTGCAGATGGAGTCGCGGGGAGCAGGCCCGGCCTGAACATCCGTTCTGTTCTGCAGCGGAACGGTGTAAAGAGCTGTTTTCTTTTAAGAAGAATCCTGTCATAGCTTGAATGACCAAAATGGGGTAATTTTTCCGCAGACGGGCCTTGCTGCACACTCAGCAGATGCCCACTCGATGCTGCACAGCTTGGAGTTCTCAGCGTCTGAAGGGATGTAACACTACCTGTACTACTCTCTCTGTTCTGTTAGCTCCGATAAATAGCAATTTAGACCATACTGAAGGGAGTCTGAGTGCCTGCCTTGGTGGGATCATCGCAGGCCAGCAACTGCTGGTGCAAAACACCCCTCTCGCCCCCCGCCATGACAGCCGGCTTTGGGGCAGAGAGCCCCCGGGTCTGGTCCGCGTGGAGGATGTGGGAGCTGGATGTGTGCGGCAAAGGCCGATGCTCACTGACCTTTTTACAAAAAGACCGTGACACCCATAAATGATAAGCCATTTAGGAACAGAAGTCGTAGCACATCCTCTAGGTCATTGACATCCTGATGCTTCAAGGTTTAATTCTAGAGGTTTTGGTGGGTTTTTTTTGTTTAATTTAAAGAGGAGAAAAGGAGTAGTACTTCCCCTTCCTGCCTGCTTCTGTTCACACACAGACACACGGACTTCCCACGATAAAGGCACCCCTGTATTCCAGACAGGGATTGGGCTGGACTGAGAACCTCTCAGTATTTCCTGCAGGCCAAGCACCCCTTTTGCCTAAGGTCAGCAAACATCTGTAGCCTCAGTGTGGGAATCCGAGTGGTGTTACTGTCAAACGCCTAATACAAACTGCCATCTCCTGCTACGTGGAATGAATTATTTGTCCTAGATACTTGAGCATAATGCAATTTCTGAGACATCAAGGAACTTCATAGCTGTTGAGAATGTCTTGTAAAAAGAACCACAACACTTGAGAGAAGTCAGAAACATAAGTTTCTGCTACTACCAGTTAAGGGTTTGGTTTTTTGACACTTTATGTCTAGAACTAAAATAAATGTTTCCTGTTTGCTTTGTAGCGGTGCATCACTTGCAATTTTATTAACAATGAGCAAGGACATTTTGTACTTTCTAATTCAAACGTGACTGAGTAGTACTCCATATATACAGACACTATAAAATACAGTACTTGTTGATTAGTAGTTATAGCTAGCGTTTATTCCATACAGAACAGTGTAATAAGTTCCTTTTAGCCTTTGTAGTGTTGGCATAAATCGTGTAATGGAAAGTAGGGGCAGATCAAATTATATGCATTGGCCAGGTGTCAGCGTGAAGGTCAGGATGAAAACTAGTTTTTAAGATACATCACAAAACAACACATTTATAGGTTAAGGCAATATCTTATTATATTAGCTAGTATAGATTTTTTTTAGAAAGTAAACACTTCAGGGGAAAAAAGCACCCTTATTTAGATCTAAAACAGAAGCAACAAACTTCCAGGCAGAGTGGAACTAGAGAACAATTTCCCAAATTTCTTTAGGTGTGAATGAGACAATCTGAGAGAAAAGGAAGTTGATACCTGTGGAATAGAGGTAATATTGGTAGGAGAGTAAGAGAAGTGGTAGATAATTATCCCTTCGTGGTGGGGAAAAGAATAGAGAAACAGGTAATTTCTAATAAAACATGGAAAAGACGGGAAGAAGAGGAATTATAATATGTCACAAAAACGTCCAAAATTACCTGGAATCCACTAGTGCTGCCTGTGTCCTTAAGCCTGTTTGCTGTTCTGACACTGTCATGACAAGTGTTGGCTGTGGCCTTTCCTGATGGCCTTATTTCTGCTGTCTACTTCTACTGCTCACACGGCACAGAGTGCTTTCATTCAGGTTGCCAGGAGAGATACATGGCATTACCACAGTATTTTGCTTAAGTGAGTGGGAAGGCTGTATCTAGTGCTTTCCTCTGTTGCATATTTTTCTGCTGAAATTCTGTTGATGGACATCTGAAATTAGTGGTATTGAACCACAGTCCTTCTGTATAGCTTTAATGGCAGTGGTGGACTGCGTATCAACACAATCCAGACTCTTGGAGCCATTAAATATTTCTGAGCCATCCAAAAAAAAAAACCCAAACAAAAGAGAGAGAAAGGAAACAAGCAACAACATAGGGAATCTCTAAGTATGCTATTAACAATACACTATAACTCACTATCTAGTAGAATATATAACCATTGGGCAATGTTTAAACTTCTGTGAATCAAAAAGATGAAAGTTCATAACCCAGTATCCTACACTGCGGCAAACACAATATAGGTGAGCAGTTCTATTGCTATTTTATTTAAGACTACATTTTTCAAACTGCTTGAACTAAAAAGAAACTTCCTTCGCCACAATAACCTCCTTGACATATTAAAATAAGTTATCCAAACCATTTATTCAAGAATATATTTGATAAATTGCTAGTGTTGATCTTTTATAACGACTAATTACTTCTGTAACATTAAGGTTATATGAGCTCTTTTTACTGTGAGACAGTTTTAATGAGAATAAACTGTCCAGACAAACATATCTACCATACTTTATTTTTTTAAGAGGTACTGTAAACATCCCATACCACTTGAGATCTTTATTATGAAAGCCACACTTAAATATACACAAAACACCTTAAATATAACTGTTGAGATACAATTCAAGGTTTTTTTTCCCCCCTGCCAAATAGCTGATGCAGAAGAATGATACCGGTTTTAATAAATAAAACAGTAAGTCATGATATGATGAAGATATTTAAGGAAGTTATTGTTGCATGCATATAAACATCAGCATCTTTGTACCCTTCTGTGGGCATTTGAATGACAGTGGGTTGAGCCTTTGATTTTTTTACTCACTTGTAAACAGACTTACTTCTTCTGTTTGTAAACAGTCTTTTTTAAAACAGTATGCAACTACTTAATGAAAATAAGCTAATCTACATGAGGAAGAGCTACAGTATCGTAATTTTATTTTAGACGTTAAGTTAGCAGACATCCTCCAGCCAGATAAAAAAACCCCTTTTCATTATATATTGATCTGAATTCTGTGCAAATAGTTAACACGCTGCATGTCGTTAATAGCATATTCCTAATTACTTCTTTATTAAAGATGGAAAATGAGCTGTAATATGAATTTTTTATTTATTTCAAGTAAATAAGATACCATGTTCTTCTGCAAGAGCATTTATAGCTAAAGATGTAATTATGAAAAAAAAAGTTTTCATATGTTAAGATAGAGAAAATATTCATTCATGAGTATTTACAATCACCCATGTTTAAAAGCATTGCTAAGTTCTGTGTGCTTCATTTTATATTTCTATCAAGAAGTGTACATGCTTCCCCTTAAACTTCTGCTTCTAGACATTTTACTGTGGACTCAGGCTTGGGTTTAGACTCTTCTACCTTTTTTCCATTATTTGTTTCCTTCTCAGGTGTTTTGTCATTTGACTTAGCCTCTTTGAGAGCAGTAGTTTCAACCATTTCTTTTTGCTGATTCTTGCTTGAAAATGGGAAGGTTTTCTTGTACCTTTAAATAGAAAAAAGGATAGTAAAGCAGAAACACTGACATAGTTTGGTAGTATCACTCAAGAAATAAAGTGAAAAATATCTAGAATTAACTTTCTTTGCCAGACTCAAGCCAAAGTCTCACACAGAACAGTGGCACACAAGAACATTGTGCTTTTTCAAGCAGTGTGCTTTTTTGAAGAAATATTTTTGTATTTTTTTAAAAAACAGACAATGTATATTCAGGAGTTGTGGTACATAATGATAAAGCTATCTGGGCTAGGATGTAAGAAATGCACACAACTTTCTGATACAATTTAATGATGCACTGCATTGAAGATCTTTACACATAACAAATGAGCTCAACAATTATGTTTTTCTGAACGCAATCATAGTCCAAGAATAAAAACTTTTACCTTGAGTCTGACATAGAAAGAAACCAAGAATAAAGCTGCATAAACAGACTTATATACAAACAGGCACATTTCAGAGTTGCTATGTTGGCACACTTGGAAATGTTTCGCACTGGCAATGATTGACTAATCCAAAATAGGCAATATTTGTCATTGGTTCCTTTTCTAAAGCAGGGAATGGCAACAGCAACAACAAACTTTATCTGCATAACAACAGGGTTTAAGATTTTGTTGTTTGTGCTACAATGTTATGTCATTATCCTTACTTCTCTGCTCTTTAGCTATATATTTTAAATATTCACTGGTTGTATTCTAGGAGTTAACTCAGTCCAAGAGAAAAAAAAAGAAAGAAAAAACTTACTTTTTGATATAGCAGACTGCTAGAACAACTGAAATAATGAAGAAGATGACTGCCAGTACAAGAAGTGCAGTGGGGATACCTAGAGATAAAAGTGAGGTAAGCACAGAGTTTTTATATGTACTTAATTCTGACTTTGTAAAGGCTCATGAGCATAAATCCAGATTCTTCTTAAAACAGCCTAGTGTAAGAGGTACATACGCATCAATCAAGAATAGAGGTATTGGTAATCTCAAAAGGTTACTAACTCCTGCTCATTGTTTCAAGAGAGACTAAACCAGGTATTTAGGCAAGCCCTGACAGATGTCTGATCTGCTCATTTGGAGGGTTTTTACAACCTGCCTAGAGAACAGGTGATTGTGATTTTTGTGATTAACTGTCCTTACAGTTAGAATGCTTTTCCTCATATTCCTCAAATTTTCCTCAACTGTCTATTTCTCAGTTGCTGTATATTAGGATTACTTATTCACACTTCATATCTCAAAAACACCTCCATATTTGGAGAACAACAATTCTCCTTAAAATTTTCTTGGCTCTTTTTTTTTTTAAGAGCCTGCTGAGTTTTCCACTACTCTGAGTATATGGTGTTTGCTAAGACTTTCTCAGAAATGTATTTACCTCAAATCACATTAACCAGAATGAACTTCCACCATTTCATATTAAAATATTATCAAAGAGTATAAAATAAGATCTTACTTCTACTTAAAAACTATTTAAAAATCCTCTGCCTTATAAGCGTTGCTTTTGCAAAACCATAACACTCCTACTGTGCCTCCTGGTTCAGCTATATCAAAATGGATGCTGGGGTAGCAAACAAAAATAGCAGCAAACAGTTTTACTACTAATATCTACGTAAGTAGCTCTTCTGATTAAATAACTACCATATATGGCCTTTACCTCCAAAAACAACGGCATCATTCTTAAAGGCAGCATGGGAAGTGTAGTTAGGAGAGTCAATTGGTGAGTATTCCTCTGGCATTTTTGTAGTAGTCCCCTCTGTTGGTAATATAGTTTCAGTTATACATATGACGCGAAATCTTAGATTTTTCAGGGTTTGTTCTGGCTTAGTCACATTGGGCACTGCTGTGATGTTCTCAGTCAAATCAGAGTCTGAATACGCAGTTAAGTCCGTTGGTGCACTGGATGAAGGTAGCATGGTTGTAGTTGGATCTGGTTTACATGAATTAATCTGGACATCTGCAGCAGGGAAAGGAAATACAGGAGAGCTGTGTTGGATGTTAGTTTTGTACTTACTGTACACGTTTATTGACATTGTTCCTCAGTCCTTCCCTTCTGGAAATTATTATTTGTTTATTCACAAAAGCCTTACCCAAATCAGGTGTGCCTATTTCAAACGTGGCTGCAACCCAGATACACGCACCTTTTATCACTACTCACATAATTAAACACTTTTTGAGCAGGTATGATGCTCATTTTATAATAGCATACTGCTGACAAGATTCCTCCAGAAAAATACTTAGAATAATAATGCATGTAAAAAACAATAATATGACCTCCTGCAGAGCAGGTGACTTAACTGCAGATCCAAGATTCAAAAATATTTCTATTATATTATGTATATGTTCAAAACATATGCATGCACTGTTGATACTTGGAACACTACTTTGATCTCCCAGAAATCAAACACGATTCTAATGGGGGCTAAAAAGAAACAAACTTGAGGCACGCTCAGAAATTAAGTCATTATATGATGTCAATGTTGTCTGTATAAAACCATGGGTGCAAGTGGACTTCCATATGGAAATGGAAAAGCTGACTTCTGAATCAGGGTCATGTGAAAATGTGAAAATTCTTCTTTTCTAGTGAAGTTCTATGTCCTGTAAAGCTATAAAAATTTCACTAAAGTAACAACCAGATTACAACATAAACAACAGGGAAACGACTTATGTACTGTTCTCCAAATGAATCCCCATGGGAAGTCTGATGACGCAGTTACATTCATAGAATAAAAAGCTAAATAGGAGGCGCATTTTACTTTTTCCACTACAGTTTTCAAGTGATTTTGGCATTTCTTTGGCACAAAGAAAACTGACAGGATAAGCTTCTGCCAAATATTTTGGGTAAGAAATGCCTAGAACAGGCAACAGTTTGGCAATTAAGATAAAGAAATGCAGAATCATCCTGATGTTAAATATACGTTACTTTAAGTTATTTTTTAACTGTTCAGCAAGCTTAACGTTCTTTACACACTGTAACAGTATAACTTTTTGAATTAAAGCTAAACAAAGCTACCTCCTTAGCATTACCCAACCTACCCAACATTTCTGATGCACAATGACACATATTTCATCCACTGAAACACCATGTTGCATAGGAACAGAAGACAAAACGATAGCTTCTTTTAGAGCGTGTTGCCTGAGTACTGATTCACCTATGTATTCATCAATAAAAGCTATGGACTGTAGAGAAAAACTAATTTAGCCCAATCATGTAATTTTTAACTTTACAGGTTAGGTGATAACTCAATTTTTAATAGTGCTTTCTCTCTGCAGTGCTTTCATATCAGCAGTCAGATACTTTGTAAGCTGACTACTTATATTACCTACCCTCCTTCACTAAAATGGCCCATGATCGTGACATGAAAGTCCCACTGGTAAAGGCATGGCCTTCTCCCTAACGGCTTTATCTTCAGTCTCTTTGTAAGCGCCAATGTCCACAGTCACCAGACATGGTCTTAGGTCTTTGTATCTTTGCATGGGCATATCTTGCATATATCTCCTGCTCTTTCCAATGCTTGTTCACACATCTTTCCTGAAAATTGTCAGGATTTTGTACATAATCTCTTGCTAAAACTCACTGGCAAGGTCTAGGGATTGATTAGAAATAACTTATTGATCCTGTATATGGTCTAATTATCAGGATATTTATTCATAATAACCATAGATATGCGACACTAGCAGGAACACAATGCCTCAAGTTAAAAACTTATTTTTAGTCAATACCACAGAAGTCATTAAGAAACAATATTGATATATTGTGCTGAGAAGATCTAACTTATATGAAGGCCCAAGTTCCACTGTTTTATCTTCAATCTGGGAATAGGCATTCAAGAATGAGGGGAAGGACAGGTCTTTTCACATATAGGATGATGGATATTAAAGGAAGTTGTTTGATTTTGCTTACAATAGATTGGGAATCTAGGTAATTTTGTAGTTTCTCAGCTGTTATTTTAATTTAGTTTAATGGATACATTTTCTTTTGTCAAAAAACATTCAACTTTTCCTGTAGTACCCCACTCTTGGTCTTTTTGCAAGAAAATATACACCACACACAGACACCCTAGTTAAAGATTTGATTCACTGTATTTCAAATTAACGTGCCTAAATAATCAAAGCATATTAAGAGCGTTGTGTCGACATTACAGAATGGTAAAAGCAACTATTCTTCAAGAGGTTTCATGGCCACATCAAATTATTAATTCAGATTATCTGCATTGACTTTTTGTATTTCTTGGAAGCTTTTTTTCCCCTACAAAGCTAAGTACAGCTTGACAACATTTGAGACTGGCTGGGGAAGGGTCAACAAATTATAAGAACTCACTCACTTGTTATGATTTTTTCATGCACATATTAAAAAAAAATCATAAAACCCAAACAAAACCACAGAAAATGTAGTTAGCATGCTTACATACCTGAGGAGTTGAAGCAGTAAACCTTAAATGTTTTAAAGGGTTCAGCATGCCATAGCACTAGTCCAACGTTGCCCTTACCACATTTCTTGTTGGATGTTATCCGAGGAATGACAACCAATCCATCTTTCACCCATCCATAGCTACAATAAAAAGCATCAGGCTTTTTAATATTAGATTTATCACCAGCCTCAGATGTGTGTAAAGGCTTTCACTAAAGGTAATGAGATGCCAACTGATGTCACATACCTGCACGTTTCAAAGCCGTGTTTCAAAGCATTTTCAACTTGGTCTTTACTTGCCAATTGCAGGTTCAGTTGATTACATGCGTTACGTGCTTCTGACAAATTCACTTTCTCCTCAAGATAAATTCCTACACCTGTGATCCTGCAAGGTGAAAGAATGGAACCTGTAATTTAGACATAGATTTTCAAGGTTAGTATTTGAATATTAACATTTAATCCTCATGAAGAATTTAAGATCACATTCAACTGAGTTGAATACTGTTAAAAGTTTCTAGCTTGAGAATAGTAGAAAACTAATTTATAGCAAAAAGCCCCATACTTTAAAAATAGAACACAGCAGTCTAGAATTTCAAGAGGTTTGGTTGTCATTAGGCTAAATGCATATACAGTTGGCATTTGAGTCATTACCTGGAGTCAGTTTCTTACTAAAGACACTCTTATTTGTCATACTTATTCAGGCAAAATGGGAAAAGAAATCAGACAGGGTTTATTTCCCCCTTTTTTTTTTAAATTAAAATGATAAAACTAACAGTTGCACTGAGACACTGATTCTGGCAGTATGCCACTCTTATCAATATGAGTTCTAGCAAAGGTATTATACATAATTTTTCATGGAATTAATATACCAATAAGAAAATACACCCATAAAGATTTCATCACTCTTCTAAACTTTTTTTTTCCTAGCTTGTCATGATGATTCCACCCCTCTGCCACTGCCAAGTGTTCCATTGACTGAGTGCTTGGCAGGCAGTAGGAAAAGAAGGGATAGGCCCAGTGCATTTATGACACTTTCACCCATTCCTCCTCCATAGGCGGTTCATCCAGCATTTTTAGATAGCCACAGCTGGCACACCTGCACCAGGAAATGCATAGCTTAGGTCTGATTACACCTGCTCTACTTTCTCAGTGTATGTTAAGGACATATGACAGAATTCAGGATTTGACACAGACAAGGAGAAAGGATATTACTCTTTTGGCGCCATGTTTTACCGGAAGCATATACTGGAAAAAAGATTTTTTTCTTTTTGAGTTACATACAGTAATTGCTATATTAAATGAAACATTTCAACATTTCATTGCAAACATTTCATATAACCAACAGCCACAGGTGTTACTTCCTTGCTCAATTTGCTTTTCAGACTGTGTGCTCACCAGGTATGTGACCATAAAATCAGAATACAGACAATCCACAAACTCTCGAGGCAGGATGAAGTGATGCCAGCAGATCGACCAGATGACTTCTTAGCAACAGAGGTTAAATTGAATTTTATGAATGAAAAGATAGAACTAGCAGCCAAGCCACGCCCATGATGAGAAGGGGATAAAAAGATGATTAAGCTTGTGTAGAGTGCTAAAAGGAAGGCAGGCTTTTCACTCATGCTCCCACTGGGTGTGGTGGGGTTGGAAATAGCTTCTGGTAAAACATGCATGTCTGCTGCCCTTATACTTAGTTTAATTGGACTGAAATGTTTGGTAGAGCAATCATTGAATTAGGTGGATTTATCTCAGCAGAAATGGAGGCTGTGCCCTCCCATTAACACTTCCTGGTATGGTGTAGACCCAGTCACACGGCAGATGAGCCACTGAACACTTGAGCAGTCTCCATAGCTAAATCATGACTGCATCCAGCCCTGACTTCAATGTAAAACAAGCCCAAACATACTGCATGAGGATGCAGAGGAGCCCCATTGCTCAGTGAAGATGTGTGTGTAGGTATCAAGGACCTCAATTCTATGCAAGTAGTGCCAGTGTGAAGATGATGATTCACACTGTCTTCATGAATGTCCTCTTGTATGGCTTCATTTTCACCAAAGTACTTCCATGTCACAGAGGTCAAACACTGGAACATGCTTCCTACAGAGATGGTCAATGCCCCAAGCTTGTCAATGTTTAAGAGGCATTTGGACAATGCCCTTAACAACTTGATGAGCCCTGAATTGGTCAGGCAGTTGGACCAGATGGTCATTGTAGGTCCCTTCCAACTGGAATATTCTATTCTATTCTATTCTATTCTATTCTATTCTATTCTATTCTACTCTACTCTATTTGTTCCGGTGTTAAGTTTTCACCATTCCCTTTTGGTAACAGGCAACTCT